GCTAGTTCTAGTCCCAGCTTCTCTACTTCTGATCCAGCTACCTGTCAATATACCTGGATAAGCAGTGAAAGATGGCCCAAGTGCCTGCATCCCTACCACCCATGTGGGAGACCTGGATGGAGTTCTAGTCTCCTGCCTTCAGTCTGGACCAGCCTTGGTTGTTACAAGCTTTGTTGGAGTGAACGAGTGGATGGAAGATTCTCTGTCTTTCTCTCTCTCTGTCTCTCTTTTTCCCTGCTCCCTCTCCCTGTCACTTTGCCTTTCAAATAAATATTTTTTTAAATCTTTCTGGCAGAGCAGGAAGTTAGCCATCTTCATCAGTTCACCTCCCTCCCCAGCCCCCTAGTGCCTCTGCTGTATCCCCCATGCTCAGAGGATTCTGTATGACCACTTCCCTCCCAAGGCGTGTGGGATCTGGGTTCTGGGACGAGAACCCAGGCTGTACCCTCCAGAAGGCTGCAAGCTCCTGGAAGCCAAGTCTGACCTCACCTTTGCCTCTCTCACAGCACTGAGCAACCACTATGCCTTGCCCTTGGCAGACACTTTAAAAACTGCAAACCACAGTCTGCAAAGTCAAAATACAACCAGTCAGTCAGCTGAGCAGCAGCAAGTCCCTGCAGCCAGGGAACAGCCTCAGCTGGAGAGGTCACGGATCAACAGGGCTGGCCCTGCAGGGTCATTCTCTCACTGTTCATTATGGCCACTGGCCTGCCCACCTCTCAAGCATGCTCTCCTACCACTCCCCATGTGTCCCTCTTCTCCTGCCCCAGAACAACCTGCCATCCCCCCATGTCCAGGACACTGGCCCATACGCTCCCCAGGACCCCTTTGCTGCCACTTGCTGGGGAGCTCAGCTCATCCTACAGGCCTTAGCTAGGAAGGCATGACCCCTGTCTGGAAATGCACCTCTGAGGGTTTAGGAACCCAGCTTCAAATCTCTGCTCTGCCACTGAGCAGTCTCGGGATCCTAGCCAGTCACTTAACCTCTGAGAACCCCAAAGTGGGGACAAGAATGAGAGGCTGCGAGCAGAGTTCACGGCAGTGGCGGGCAGATTCGCAGTGCTCAGGCTGGACAGTGGGAAGCGGCTGCCTGCCCTCCCAGGCACAGTCCCCGTCACTCCACGCTGTGCAGCTCAGGGCAGCCAGTTCAGGTGCTTGAGCTGTCGCAGGGCAGGGTCTCCATTACCATCTTCATGCTGTCACAGTCTGGCCCACTGCTCCGTCCCCAGATGTCTTCACACACACAAAGCCTGCGCCCCGTTCTGGGTCTATCACAAGATGATGCCAGACAGCTGCAGCTTCTGGAAAACCGCCCACGAGCCAAGGTGGAAGTTACTTTGGGTGCTCACTTCACAAAGAGAGGATCCCAATCTGCAGCAGTGGAAGGACCTCTGCCCGCACCTCCCACACGCTCCCCTCAACCAGCAGCGTCCTTGGCACAGCACGTGCAAGCGCCCCTGAGCCTGGGACAAATCCCTGATGCTCCCAGCCTCGGGCAGGATCACCCACCACGTCCTCCGCCATCGAAAGCCTGAGATGTGCTCCAGAGGGTTTCTGAGGGGTCTAGTTGAGGAGAACACCTTGAACTTCTCTGAAGAAGTGACTATACCCAAGGTCAGAAAGAGCTTTCACGTGAAAATCCTGTCCAGATCAGGTTTCTCAGCCACAACACAAGTGTGGCTGGGGGTGCAATACGAGTGCTTGGCCAGAGCCCTGGCCCTGGCTACTGCATGATACCCACCAGTTTAACAACTGAGCATGTCTGCAGATGCTGACAAGGGTACCCCGGGGACGGCAGGGGGAGCTCTTCAAGACCTGAGCCCACTCAGCCCAACTCCTGTCTTTCTGCCTCAGTCAGTCAGGGAGGAAGGTTTTTAGCTGCTCACAAAGTCCTCCTTGAAACACTGCCTTCCGGTCCCCAGGGAGTTTTGTTTCGCTCACAGTCTGGAGGGCAATTGTTCCCAACCCCAGCTGCATGTGAGAAGCCCCTGGAGGGCATCACAAAAAAAACAAACCACCAGGGCCAGCGCTGTGGCATAGCAGGGTAAGTCTCTGCCTGCGACGCTGGCATTCCATATGGGCGCCAGTGTGAGTCCTAGCTGCTCCACTTCTGATCCCACTCCCTGCTGATGGCCTGGGAAAGTAGTAGAAGATGGCCCAATTGCTTGGGTCCCTGCAACCCATGTTGGAGATGCGGAAGAAGCTCCTGGCTCCTAGTTTTGGATCGGTCTAGCTCTGGCTGTTGTGACCATCTGGGAGTGAACCAGCAGATGGAAGATTTCTGTTTCTCCCTCTCTGTGTCTGTAACTCTGCCTCTCAAATCAATAAATCTTGGCCGACGCCACGGCTCACTAGGCTAATCCTCCGCTTGCGGCGCCGGCACCCCGGGTTCTAGTCCTGGTCGGTTGCTCCTCTTCCAGTCCAGCTCTCTGCTGTGGCCCGGGAGTGCAGTGGAGGATGGCCTAAGTCCTTGGGCCCTGCACCCGCATAGGAAACCAGGAGAAGGCACCTGGCTCCTGGCTTTGGATCAGCGCGGTGCGCCAGCCACAGCACGCCGGCCGTAGGGGCCATTTGGGGGGTGAACCAACGGATGTCCAAAAAAAAAAAAAAAAAAAATCAATAAATCTTTTTGTTTTTGCTATTTGTTATTTTTTTCTTTTTTTCAAGATTTTTATTTATTTATTTGACTGGTAGAATTATAGACAGTGAGAGAGAGACAGAGAAAAAGGTCTTCCTTCTGTTGGTTCACTTCCCAAATGGCTGCAACGGAAGAGCTGCACCAACCAGAAACCAGGAGCCAGGTGCTTCCTCCTGGTCTCCCACGCGGGTGCAGGAGCCCAAGCACCTGCGTCATCTTCTACTGCTTTCCCAGGCCACAGCAGAGAGTTGGACTGGAAGAGGAGCAGCCGGGACTAGAACCAGTGCCCATATGGGATGCCAGTGCCACAGGAGGAGGATTAACCTAGTGCACCATGCCGCCGGCCCCTCATATAAATAAATCTCAAACAACAAACAAACAAACAAACAAAAAACCCACCAATTCAAGAGATCAGAATCAGCTGATCTGAACATGGACCTTTTTTTTTTAATTCCTTAGGTGGGCTTAACACGCAGTGAGGATGGGTGAGTCATGTCTTGCATTGTTTTGTTTTAAGATTTTATTTATTTATTTGAGGGGTGGAGTTACAGACAGAGGCAGAGAGAGAGAGATAGGTCTTCCTCCCGTTGGTTCACTCTCCAGATGGCCGATCCAAAGCCAGGAGCCAGGTGCTTCTTCCCGGTCTCCCATGCGGTGCTGGGGCCCAAGCACTTGGGCCATCTTCTACTGCCTTCCCAAACCATAGCAGAGAGCTGGACTGGAAGAGGGGCAGCTGGAACTAGAGCCGGTGCCCATATGGGAATGTTGGCACTGCAGGCAGAGGATTAACCTACTGCACCATGGCACCGGCCTCCGAGTCATGTCTTTTGATTCCACCCTCTCCCACCTTCTGGTTCTGGCAGTGCCAAAGCCATTGAGGCAGCCACAGTGGGGTCAAGGGGGTTTATTAGACTGCCCATTCTTGACCATGAAATATCCTCTGCATACTTTGTTTCCTGGCCTGCATGTGACTTGCTGGAGAGAATGGAACCTGACCTACCTTCAAGCAGCCTTCCTGAAGCCTTATTGATCCACACACTGCTATCCTACAGAACTTTCTTCCAGGGTGAAAATGTTTTCTATGTGCTCTGCCCCCCCACAGCAGCCACTACCATGTATGGCTATGGAGTACTTGAAATACAAAGCAATGAATTTTGAATCTGATTTGATTTGAATTCATCTGAGTTTAGATAGCCACATGTGCTAAGAGTCACTATCCTAGGAAGCTCAAAAAGTATATCCCTACAGTCACAGAAATTAAATCCTGAGGGGCCGGTGCTGTGGTTAAGTCACTATCAGAAGGACCGGCATCCCATATGGACGTCAGTTCTAGTCCCAGCTGCTCCACTTCTGATCCAGTTCCCTGCTAAGGTGCCTGGGAAAGCAGTGGAGGGTGGCCCAAGTGCTTGGACCCCTGCACCCATGTGGGAGACCTGGATGAAGATCCTGGCTTCTGGCTTCGGACTGGCCCAGCTCCAGACACTGTGGCCATTTGGAGAGTGAACCAGTGGATGGAGACCTTTCTCTCTGTCTCTCCTCTCTGTCTGTAACTGTCTTTCAAATAAATAAATCTTTTAAAAAAATTAAATCCCATGGCCTCAATTTCCTAGAAGAGTGAAATTTACAAAAGTTTTTATCTTCACATATGTAAACTTAACAGTCTCAAAATTATCAAACATTATCCCAATTTCCAGCAAGTAAGACTCAAGGTAGGAGAAATTTTAAAATATAAAATGTTCGACACATTGTTTCTCGGCCTTTTGGCTAAGACCAGGTTTAAAATGTTCGACTTGTATGGCTAGCTTCCTAGAATATTCCAAATACTTGGCAATGAGAGGGCCATCTCTGCCCCCATTTTTTAATATGCCCCCTTGTAATAACTAATTTAGTCACCAAAGTAATCAGGAATTTGGGAAGGAAGAAAAACATAACAAAGTGGATTTCCACTCTTAGCTGCTTGCTAGCCTTCAAGGTTAAACACTCAGCCTTGCTTTTCCTCCCTCCAAACCCAAAGACAATCTTGGCTGCTAACCTCTGGCCCCCAAGAAAGGCCTGAACCCACACAGTGCAAACCCCAGCCCCCTCTAAGGATCAATGTGTTCTCGTATCGTCAGATTTCTTAATGACTTGCAACTGCGCAAACTGTTTTCCCACACTCATTCTGCACACACAGATCATCTCCAAACTCCAAAGTTCATAAATTTTGGGAGTTACAAAACAGAGAAGGCCGATTCTGCCTCTTACTGCCAAGGACGGCGCTGAAGAAGGCCTCATGGGCTCTTCCGAGCACAAAACCCACTGCCTTCTGCTTGGCCCGAACTCCCTTGCCCACCTCTACGCAGCATCAACAGGAGCTGCTTACTGAGGACTTGGTATTTCTCCAGTCTTTCACCACAGCAGCCAGCTATCACTCAGTCTTCCCTGTCATAGCCAATGTGTTCTGAGGGCTTACACACACGCTGGGCGCCGGGCAGTATTTTATCTGAGCGCTACCCCTGCTCTCTGAAGCAGATACCGTTACCAGAGGCTTAGGTAACCTGCCAAAGGCCGCCCACAGAGCTAGTAGCAGAGGTGAGATCTGGACTCACGTCTGTCTGACTTTCCAACGGGAATCTTTTGGACTAAAAACAAAACAAACACGCTGTTACAATGCAGGTACCAGGCTGAGTCCTCCTCCTGGAGGTCAGGCTGCAGCTCAATGAAGGAGTTTGAGGTTGCAGGGCTCAGAAATCCGGGGCCTATTATCAGCTCAGAAACCACACCTCTGCCCCCTCTCTGATTCTCTCTCTGCCTAGGGAGGCACAACTGCACCCAAGAGGACAAGACAGACGCATGCAGTAGAACCTTCCAGTGCCACCATGGGTGTGGGGGTAGGAAAAGCTTTCAGCTGGGGGCAGGGAGGAAAGCAGGGGACTGGTCCTGGAGGAAACAGCTGGGCTGGACCAAAGGGATAGGTGAGGTTTAGACATCAGAGTTCCAGGAAGGGCGTCCCCAGAAGAGGAAACCGCCTAAGCAGCAGTGAGAAGCCTTGGGTGTGCTGGCTTGACCACAGCAAAGGAAGCAGGGAGGGAGTGGGAGGGGGTGGTCAGGTTGCAGAGGGGGAAGGGGCAGTGTCTCTAGGGGGCAACACTAGTGGGCCAGGGCAGCACAGGGCGCCCAGGAGTCCCCAGTTACCCAGGACCTGCTCTGCATATCCAGCAAGTCCCTTCTCGTCTCCTTGAAGATGGTACTGAGGACCCCTTGTCAGTCTGAGCTCTTGATGCTACTACGGAAACAAGTTGGTGCCAGGATTACAGGTTACTCGTTTCTGATTTCTAATTTCTTATATTATAAAAATGTCATTGGTAAGAATTTATTCGTTAAAACTGGGGGAAAGGTCTAGTGGTTCAGAGTGAGGTCAGACTGCCTGTGGAAGCCTCACTGGCCTCCTCTGAGAAATGAGCCCAGCAGCGCACCTGCCTCCTGGAGCTCACCGGGGAGAGAGGCAGGTAACCTTTGATAGGTTAGGCCACGGCCTGGCACCGGGTTCCTGCTGCTTCTACCTCTGCTATTAACTACAAACTATTTTAAACCTCCAGCCAGAGGGACCTGGCCATTAGGGAGTTCTGAGGAAGCCAGGAGGGTAAGAAAGATGCTGGCTACCAGGCCTCAGCTGGGGGAGGGCCTTCCTCTATTGCCCTTCTTAACCTCTCGCCTAACAGGCCATAGAAGAGCTCAAAGCACACATCCCCTGGATGCACAGCCTGCAGACCCGCAGCTGCCTCTTCCTCCCTCCAGGCCACCTTCTGCCAACTTGGCCTCCCCTGCCCGTGTCGGGGTTCGGGGGCGTAAATTGTGCAGGCGCTCGGCCCTGTACCCGGTGTCGCACAACCCCCATTTCCCTGGCAACAGGGAAGCCCCGGCTGCTAGCGGCGGCGGGGGATGCCCGGGTGGCCGGCGGGCAGCGGGCTGTCCCAGCGGCTGCACCGGCATCCTGAGCCGGGGGTCTGGGGAGAAGGAGGAGCAAGGGCCGGCTGGGGTGAGGGGTGCTGAGAGGCTGCGGGAGGGAGCTATCAGCGGAGAGCTCTTGGGGGTGCAGATGTCTAGGGCGACGCGGGGGAGGCGGCACGGGGCGTGACGCCCGGAAGGGCGAGCTGCAGCCCCTCTCCAGCATGTGGGGGCGACCGGGGTGCACAGACCCCCAGCCGTGCCGGCGCGGGGAAAGAGCGCACAGGGGCTGGTGCAGGCGCGGAGGGGGCAGAAGCGGAGTCGACAGAGGGCGCAGGTCGCCATCGGTCGTCACCGTGACCCTGAGCTGATGGAGGCTGGCAGCCCAGACCCGGGAAGTAGGGGGTGGGTCACGGGGCCAGCGGGGGCGTCCCCGGGTTTCCCTCCTGGGCGCGCATCTCCCGTCCCGTCCCGCCCCGCCGGCGCTCACCTGACCGACCTCAGCCGCCCGGATCGCTGGCCCACGGCTCGCACCCGGCAGCGCAGGTACCCGCGTTGCTCTCAGCTGCCGGCGCCCAGCTCACGCACGACTCCTTAAAGGCGCAGCGCGCTGGCCTGCGTCCTCCGACAGAAAAGCCGGCCCCGCCCGCCCGCCCTCCCGCCCTGGCCCCTCGCGGCGTCCCTCGGCAGCCGCCTTTGCGCTCGGGGACCCCGGGGAGCGCTGCCTCCTAGCCCCTCCAATAGAGTTGGAATCCTGCCCAATCCGACCCAGCAACCCGTCTCCAAGCCAGGCCGGAGCCAGGCCAGAGCATGAGCGCCTACTGTGTTTCAGTGGGGCAGATTCGAGTCACCCCGCCCGCGAGGAGCTCGCTGCGGGGAAGTCCTTGCAGTCCCTCGAGCCGCACTTCCCCCGTTCGAGCCCGGAGTCCGCGGGGCTTGCGCGCTGTGAGCACCTACTGTGTGCCTGGAACAGTAACTCGGAGAGAGAACAGGGACAGACGCGGGTTCACCGGCAGGAAAAGCAACACTACATCGGTTGATTCATTTTTTATAATTTATTTTCATTTTATTTGAGAGGTTGGTTCATTCCCCCCGCCACACACGCACACCTGCACCACCAAAAAAGAGTCCACAACAGCCAGGACTGGGCCAGGAACTCCATCCCAGGACCCCACTGCTAGGGACAAGGACCCAAGTACTTGGGCCATCACCTGCTGCCTCTCCAGGGTGTGCATTAGCAGAATCCAGGGCAGGGACTGGAAACCAGGCGCTCCAGCATGAGACGCTGGTGTCTTAGCTGCTGTGCCAAAGAGCACCCTTGCCTGGTCCTATGAGATAGCGCTTGGAAGGCACCGAGGCTCAGGGAGGGGAGGGCTCGCCCAGGGGCTCAGTCCGTAAAGAACAGAACTGAGAGTTCCAGTGCAGGACTGCCTGACTCCACGATGCATGGGGAAATGGGCGCTTGGAGATCCTCTACCACCACCACTGTATGGTCATGTCTTCCTTTTAGGGACAGTAAACCTCAGGTTGGCCTGGCTACGCCTTCCTGTTTTCCTTCTCTCAACTGAGACATCATTTCCTCCAGAGAGCCTTCCCTGATGCCCACGTTGAGCTCACACTGCACCGGTACTTCTGCCATCAAAGCGTTACTGAGCACCTACTGTGCCTGTGGGGCTCTGCGCAGTGATGAGCAAAGAAGAGCCCAGAGCCGAGCCTTCCTGGCGGCCAGGTCTCCCCGCTGCCCTGAGTCCTCGGCTGCTCACCGGCAGACGTGGGTGGGACCAGCGCCTGGCAGGCCTCTCTTGGCCATTTAAGTTCACCGCCAAGGCCGTGTCCTCCAGGCTGGCGAGGCTTGGCTGAGTTGGGCAGCTCTTGGGTTTTAGGAACAGGATCTGGACAAGCAGCTCCAGAGACGTGGGGGAGGGGCTTCTTGGGCGAACAATGGGCACGCCAGCCTACATGTCAGCACTGCTGGGATTCGCCCAGAACTGGGAGCAGTCTCCCTGGCCTGGCCTGGGACATCTTCCTCTGCATTGCTGGCCACCTCAGCACTGAGACAGCAGAGGCTGCGTCCAACTCAGTCCCACCCCTCTGGCACACCCCTCCTCACTGGTTAAATGGATGAGGCTCAGCAGCCGGCCACCTACAAGCCCAGCACTCCTGAGCACGGGCAGCATTCACCAGACAGGTATGGTGGCAGGTAAGGGAATGAATCAATGAATGACTTCCTGCTAGGCTGCAGCCTGGATGCCAGCATACCCTTCACCTGGTGTATTTCACAACTTGAAAACAATTGTTTCAGTTTTTTAAGTTTTTTTAAAGATTTTATTTATTTATTTGAGAGGTAGAGTTACAGAGACAGAGCAAGAGAGAAAGGGAGGGAGGGAGGGAAAGGTCTTCCTTCCGTTGGTTCACTCCCCAAATGGCCGCAATGGCTCGAGCTGCGCCAATCCACAGCCAGGTGCCAGGAGCTTCTTCCTGGTCTCCCACGTGGGTGCAGAGGCCCAAGGACCTGGGCCATCTTCTACTGCTTTCCCAGGCTACAGCAGAGAGCTGGATTGGAAGAGGAGCAGCCAGGACTAGAACCGGCGCCCATCTGGGATGCCAGCACCACAGGCGGAAGATTAACCTACTGCACCACAGCACCAGCCCCTGTCTTTTCAGTTTTAAAATGTTCCCTCTTCAAAATCTTCAAAATTGGCAGTTCATCCTTCTAGCCCCTAGCCTGTGGCTCCCTACGGGCCTCCAAGTTTCTATATCCAGATGTTATCATCCCGCCCCACACAGTCTTATATTTGGACATATGTCGTGAGCCCCAGGGGGGAGTCACCTCCTGGGTGAATCTTCTTCCCCAGATGACTGACAGGAGAGAAGTCTTAATCACAGTGAAGCCAAGGAGGCCAGAAGAGATGAAGGCAGGCATTTGCAGGCCCTCTCTGAGTCAGTGCTACCCCTGAGCACTGACCGAGTCACCGGGGCAGGTGGGAGGCCAGGGAGCAGTCCCAGGGGCCACCTCCTTTCCAGATTGCATCTTCAGTCATCAAGCAGAAACTTATCAGCTGTCAGTTCTCACCCAGGCATTGGGAAAGAATTCTGAAACCTCTCCCCCGCCAGCAGACACAAGCAGAACTCCCTAGGCTGTGCCCTGCCACAGTCTGTGGCCATCTCCAGGACTCAGCAGCACATCAGTCAGAGCTGAATGGTGCTCACAGTGGTGACTGCTCAATGAACACTTGTTATCTGCAGGCACTGGGCACCAAGTCACTTGGTCCTCCCAAATACCCTAGGAGATGTACTAACCCACTTCACAGACAGAGGCACTGAGGCCTGGAGGGATTAACTGGCTCACTCAAAATCCCATACCCAGCAGATGGTGGGGTCTGGAGAAGAAAAAGCATGCATTCATTCATCAAGCGTTACTGAGAAACTACTACATGCCACATTAGCTGTAGGTGAACACAGACACACTTCTTGTTGGTCTGTTTTCTGTCGCTGTTAACAGAACACATGGGACTGGATAATTTATAAAGGAAAAAAAGGTTTGGTTAGCACACAGCTCTAGAAGTTCAAGAGCATGGCACCAGGGTCTGCAGGGCTTCTAATGAGAGTCTCGTCCAACTGCATCTCATGGCAGAAAGCGGAAGAGCAAACAGGCCCAAGTGGAAGAGAAGTATCTGTGCGAGAGTGAAGGAGGAACCAGGTTGATTTGCAACAGCTTGCACTTTTGATAAATAACTCTCATGAGAACTGCCTGAGAGTGGAGCCCCCCATGATTGCATTCCTTCTTCAAGGCCCCACCACCTCTCAACATTGTTGCTTTGGGAAATGAATGTGTTTTGGTGGGGGCAAATCATATTCAAACCATAGCACATTTCATGCCTTCAAGGACTTGGAGTCTATTTACAAGAATTAGAGGGGTGGCAGGTGGTTAAGATACTGCTTGGGATGCCCACATCTCATCAGAGGGCCTGGGTTTGAGTTATAACTCTGCTCCGGATAACAGCTTCCTGCTAATGTACACCTTGAGAAGCAGTAGGTGATGGCTGGAGTACTTGGGTTCCTTCCATCCACATGGGAGACCCTGACTGAGTTTCAGGTTCTAGGTTTGGATGTGA